CCAGTGCTCTCAACACCAACCAAGATGATGTCCCAGGGATATCTTTCCCCCAGGAATAAAGCAACACAGCAGCTGACCTTCCTGGAGGAGAGTGTTCTAATGGTCAGTTCAGGTTGGATTTCTCCAGGCAGCACTCCCAGTTTCCATCCCTGTAGCAATGTCTTCTCCCTCCACTCCCATGTCTCAGCTCCCCGGAAAGCTAATGGTGGTGCCCCATCTACTCCCAATCCTCACAGAAAGGATCTGGGGACTAGGAAGGAGGGCTTCCCCAGCTCCTGATTCTGCCTAATATTGTTTTATTTACCTATGGGGGAGTCTGGCTCACCAGGAACATCTGCATTATGAGGTCATGCTTGTGGATTGGGACAACATGGGAGGCCTAAGCAGAGCCAAGCTTTCTAGAGTATCTGAAGTGGATACCCAACTCTCAGCCATTAATGGAATTAAGACAATGCAAAGATGCCACTGGCATGAAATGGAAGGACTGGCATGATTTCATTCATGTATTTTACATATGCACAGTTATATATTTCATATATACATGTGAATGTGTATTGATGACTGTACATGCCAGAGGAAATTATGTCAAAACATTAAGTGTTTAGCACCTAGGATGTAGGATCGTGGGTGGGTTTCCTCTGCACTCGCCTGTACAGTAGCTTATAAATATCCTCTAGTAAATATGTATCTGATTCTTGGTCACATTCACCCTAACAGAAACCTGAGCAGCCACAGGGACTAGATATGATGGATTTCAAAAATTCAGTCTTGTTACCTCTAAAACACATGATAAAACTAGTCAGATCTTGGTTACTGATTTTGAAGTTTGGAAACTAAGGTCATTGTGGCTGAGAGGTTAGCACCTGTTTCTAGAAAGTGTGGATGAAGGGGTGAGGGGTTGAGAACAGGCAGCTTCCCTAGCGAGGGGGACCCTGAGGACATCTACAGGGAGAGAGGTGGTCTCTCTTTCCCTCCTTCCTACTTCCTTCCCTCACATGTCGGTCCATTTTCTCAGTCAGTCAGCAATCTTTTGCCAAATACTGAAGGCTGTGCAGGCACCGGACTAGACCCTAGGGAAAAGGGGTGAGAAGACATGATGCCTGTCCTCGGGAAGATCACACAGTTTACTGGAGAAGACAGACAGGAAAATCACATGAGAGCCCAGCATTAATTGAGGCACCTACAGGATGCTGCAGGGTCACCGAGGAACCGTTGGCTAACTCCACCTGGGGGCATAGGGGCTTCCCAAAGATGGTGACAGTTGGGTCAGGTAAGAGTTCTACGGGCAGACTAGGAGGAGGAAGGGCCTTCCAGGCGGAGGGTATAGCATGTGCAAAGGCACGGAGATGTGAGGCAGCACCGTAGGATTCGTAGCTGGGAGAGCAACATGATTATACTGATTATACTTTGACTCAACACATGTGTGCTATGCACTAGGCTAGGTGGTGAGGATGACGGCAGTAAAAAAACAAATCCCTTAACTCACGGAACTTACATTCTAGTTGGAGAGACAGCAAAGGATGAAAATAAAGCAGGGATGACAACAGAGAGGGAGCACAGGGTGGTGTTAAACAAGGGTGGCCAGGCAAGGCATTCCTGACCCAGTGACTTGGAGCAGGACTGAATGACGTGAGGGAGCAGGCATTGGTAATGAACGGGGATGTGCCTGCAACCAAGGTAAGTGCCCCTGACCAGAATCGAACCTGGGTACCTTCAGTCCGCAGGCCAAAGCTCTATCCACTGAGCCAATGAATGATGTCTGTTTTGCATTTTAGTTGTGGTTGTGTGAGGCAGCAAGTTCAGGTGTTTATCTATGCCACCATCTTGGTATCCTCAAGGTAAAGATCTTGAGATAAAATCATATTGTATTAGGGCAGGCCCAAAATTCCAAAGTGTTATAATAAGAGAAGAGTGCAAAAAGACATGAAGAGAAAGTGATGTGAAGATGGAGGCAGAGATAGAAGTGATGTGAGGGGAGCAGAGTTTTGTGACCTCAAAATATGCTTTTTGGGGGCATTGATTATTTTCACCTGGTTATTTTTAAGGAACAAAAGACTCAGAAAAGAACCTTTGACCTTCCCCTAACTGCATAAAAGAATTTAGATAGAGAACCTGCTCCAGGAAGAAAGCTATCTTCATGCCGAGACCGGTTTGGCTCAGTGGATAGAGCGTCGGCTTGGGGACTGAAGGGACCCGGGTTCGATTCCGGTCAAGGGCATGTACCTTGGTTGCGGGCATATCCCCAGTAGGGGGTGTGCAAGAGGCAGCTGATCGATGACTCTCTCTCATCAATGTTTCTAGCTTTCAATCTCTCTCCCTTCCTCTCTATACAAAATCAATAAAATATATAAAAAAAGAAATAAAAAAGAAAGCTATCTTCATAAATAACTACAGTTTAATATGAACATGTATGTGATAGATAGGGAGCAACCTAGCAAAGCTGGTTTTATCAAAGTCCCTTCTGTCATTGTTAAAGATAGCCCAACAAATATTTAATTACCAAACATTGGATCTTTCATCTCTACATGAATTGCCTTTCTGCCTTTTGAAATACCAAACCATTACTACACATACACACACACACACACACACACACACACACACACACACACACACACACCTTCTTCCTTAGCTCAAGATGACATATAAGACTTTTCCTAATTTGCCCCAGGATCTCATATTCTTTAAACCATTTTTTTAAATTCTTATGCATTGATTTTTGAGAGAGGATGGGAAGGACAGAGGGAAGGTGGGAGAGATGGAGGGAAGGAGAGAGAGAGATTTGTTGTTCCACTCATTCATGCATTCATTGGTTGCTTCCTGTATGTGCCCCAACTGGGGATCAAACACAACCCTGGCATATTGGGATGATGTTCCAACCAACTAACCCATCCAGGTACGGCCAGGGTCTCATATTCTTATGGATCCCTGTATATACATATGGAATAAATTTGCTCATTTTCCCCTGTTAATCTGTCTTATGTCAATTTGATTATAAGACCAACCAGAACTTAAAAAAGTAGAAGGAATTTTATTTTTCCTTCCCTACAGATGCATCTACAAGCCAAGTAATACCAAGAATTGCCTGTAGCCATCAGAAGTTAGTAGAGAGTCATGAAACAGCTTCCCTTTCAAAGCCTCCAAAAGTTACCCACCCTGATGACATCATGATTTGAGACTTCCGGCCTCCAGAACTCTGAGAGAATCAATGTCTGTTGTTTTTAAGCCACTCAGTTTGTGGTAATTTGTTAGGATAACTATAGGAAATAAATACACTTTTGAACAAGGGACCCCATATTTTCACTTTGCACTGGGCCTTGAAAATTATATAGTCAGTCCTGCCTTGGCAGGTGTGGATTCTGATGCTTGGTGAGAGGGTAGGGCGAGGTGAGGATAAACTCCTGACTCCACTGTGGGGCAGGGCGGAGTTATCCTCCATTTTGTGTAACTGGACCCTAGCCCTCACCCAACCAATCAGGGTCAGCCAAAGCAGTGACATCACCACCGGAGTAAAACCCTGGGGCTTGGTGAAATTCGCTCTCTTCCACCATGCTGTCGGCATGAGTGGGACAGAGCCCATGCTAGCATGGAAGAGGCTCTTTTGTTTATTGCATCGGACTCGGCTCCCTGGTGGTCCTTGGGGATCACGAAGTCTGGGCATAACACTTGGTAGGTTGTGAACTTTGGAATGTGTTCAAGAGACAATGGGAAATGAAGAAATAGACTGCCGGAAAAGACAACTTGAATTTCAGGAAGTCTTGCTACAAAGGATATCACACAGAAATGGGGTGATGGATAGTTGGGGATGTATGGTCAAGAAGGTTGTGGTCTCCTGGCCGGTATGACTCAGTTGGTTGAGCATTGTCCCATGCACCCAGATGTCGCTGGTTAGATTCCCTGTCAGGCTCAATCTTCAGTAGGGGGCATGCTGATCAATTGTTTTCTCTCTCTCATTGATGTTTCTCTCTCTCCCTCTCTTATCCTCTCTCTCTAAAAATCAATAAAAACATATTTTTAAAAGAAAGTTATGGTATTTTTAAAGAGAGGAAACATTACATGCTTGAATACAGGTGGCAATGCTCCGTTGGCAGGGAGAGGGATTAGTGATGCAGGAATAGTAGGGGACACTTGCTTGAGCAAAGTCCTTCCAAGGGGAACAAATGGAAAATTTTATATTTTCCCCCCAAAATCAGTGTTTTGTATCTTAGTTGAAATTCTGCACCCATACCACACACAGCAAGCAGCAACAGCAGCATCTCTCTAGTCACTCGTATGTTTACCAAGAGTCTTCACATCCATGGTTTCATTTGATCCTAACAAAAATTATGTGAGATAAAGTAATTTTTTTCATGTCCATTTTTCAGATGAGAAATAGACTCTCAGAGAGGTGATAATGGCTAGAGGGCCATGGTAACTGGCAGACCTAGGGCTCCGGTCACAATAAGGTCTTGCCCTCTCTTCTTGGATGCCCAGTTAAGGCAATTTCAAAGTGCAAAAAGTGGAGGTAGCAAATTCATGAGGCATCTCCACTTATGAACATGGAAATCAGGGTCTCAATAGTGGGTGCTGGCTGCTTCTCTCACAACAGTGATGCAGGCCAACCCTTGGCAGGATTCCCTCCCCAGTCAGCTTCAGAGTGGTCCAGCTGGCAGGCAGCCAAGCTCATGGAGAGCACCCAGCCAAGAGCCCTGTGAAGGGCACTGCAGGGACATGGGATCCAACAAGCTCAGGCTGTGTGCTTCTGCCCCAGAGAAGACAAGGTGCTGAGGGGGGACAAGCCACAGGCAAGGACTGCCTCGAGAACTAGAATCCTGCATATCGTTGCTGAGCATGGAGGGGCAACGGAGGCAGATTGAAGAGCATGCAGGGCCAGTAGCTGTAGAATTGAGGTTGGATCAGGATGGCAGTTTGAAGCGCTGGTTGAAGGAGGGAAGTGACAAGCTGGGCTGTGGCAGGAGTGGGTGGGAGGGCAGTCAGGCTCTTAAAGAAAACAGCATATGTGATCTCTCAAGCATATTCCTAAGTATATAAAATCTTTTGTTGCTGAAGTGTTCTGAGATGCATGGTTAAAACAACCTTCATCCCCTAAGATCTACTTTTTAAGTCTAACATCTCCTGTAGTTATCAACAGCATATATGGCCTCTAGAGGTTAGTAGTATGCTAAACTGACCAATATGATGGTTGTAACTATCCATAGAGTTTGTCTCCAAAGAAAAGAATTGTTTGGCACAGCAGAAATATAAGCTATCTAGGCATGTTGTGAAGCCATTTGAAAGTAATTCAAAGCTAGTTTTGTGAATATTGGTGTAGTGCTCTAGTCACATTCTGCTGTAAAACGTTATGGCAAGTACAGACAAATTTAAAAGAAAAAGAAAACAGCACATGAACTCTCCATTGTGACAGTACACTGATCAGAGAAATATCACTTGCAGACCTGGAAATTGCCAGGGAGTCACATAGTGATTCTTGCTGCAGCCTCTTCCTCACTCCAGAGCTGAGGCTGCAGGGCAAGGTAAATGGACTTTTGCCATGTGACAACTATACATAGCATTCTGTGTTTAGTCACCAAAGTCAAGACCAGGAGCCCGGAAGTACCATTCTCAGTGGAGCTGAGTGACCCAGATGCCAAGGGGAGCAAGGAGGCTGAATGGCTCTATTTGCTGGAGGGGAGGGTCAGATATCGCTCTCTGAATGTCCGCTAAAGAAAACAAGCTCCAAGAAGAGGACAGAGAAGCCCAAGGTCAGCCAGGGATCACAAAACAATACAAAATCCAGTTCTGATTCACTGAGGCTTGCCATTTGCCAGGCATTGTGCTATGTGGGGTCTTCGGAAGCGCTACTTCAATTCTTAGGAGACCACTGGGAGGCAGGTGTAATTAATATGACACACACACCCCCCTCACTATAGAGATGAGGAAGCTGAGGCACAGAGCAGTGCAGTGCCTTACAAAGGTCACATACTTAAATCTCCAAGGTGGGATTCAAACCAGGTCTTTCTGAATCCAAAACCCATTCTTTTTTTCTTTTTTAATTATATTGATTTCAAAGAGGAAGGGAGAGGGGGAGAGAGATAGAAACATCAGTGATGAGAGAGAATCGTCAATTGGCTGCCTCCTGCATGCAGCCTACTGGGGATAGAGCCTGCAAACCAGGCCTGTGCCCTGGATAGAGCATCAGCCTGCGAACTGAAGGGTCCCAGGTTTGATTCTGCTCAAGGGCACATGCCTGTGTTGTGGGCTTGATCCCCAGTGGGGGATGTACAGGAGGCAGCCAGTCAATGATTCTCTCTCATCACTGATGTTTCTATCTCTCTTTCCCTCTCCCTTCCTCTCTGAAATCAATAAAGATCTATTTTTTAAAAATAAAATAAAATTATTATAATTCCTATAGTGAGCCTAATTAAATAAAATATTGGAAAAAACAAACCCAGTCTCTGAGTTTGTCCTCCACAACAAGACACCTTCACTATTATATGCTTTACTCACTTATTTTCTTTTTAAAAAAATATATATCTTTATTGATTTCAGAGTGGAAGGGAGAGGGAGAGAGAGACAGAAACATCAGTGATGAGAGAGAATCATTGACCGGCTGCCTCCTGCACATCCCCTAATGGGAATGGAGCCCACAACCCAGACATGTGCCCTTGGCTGGAATCGAACCTGAGACTCTTTAGTCCGCAGGCTGATTCTCTATCCACTGAACCAAACCAGCTAGGGCTTATTTTATCTTATTTATTGACTGTCTTCCCCATTAGGTCAGGGATTTTTATGTTGAATCCTGAGATCTCTCCAGCTCTTAGAACAATGCCTGGCACAGAGTACATGCTCAATCAATGTTTGTGAATCTCCCAGACAAACTAGTAAGTGACAAATACAAGTTGCAGAACAAGAATTAGTAATCTAGCCGAAACCAGTTTGACTCAATGGATAGAGCGTCGGCTTGGGGCCTGAAGGGTCCCGGGTTGGATTCCGGTCAAGGGCATGTACCTTGGTTGCGGGCATATCCCCAGTAGGGGGTGTGCAAGAGGCAACTGATCGATGACTCTCTCTCATCGATGTTTCTAACTCTCTATCTCTCTCCCTTCCTCTCTGTAAAAAGTCAATAAAATATATTTTTTTAAAAAGAATTAGTAATCTAGTTTATGTAAAGAACAATCACAAAGCACCACTCTATACCTGTACATATACATGCTTATAAATATTATTGCATGCAGTAGGCTCTGGAAAGATAACATCAAAGTGATAACAGTGGTTATAACTGGGTTATTCCCAAAGGTTTGGGATGGGGAGAGGGTGTCAAAGGAGACTTCAGTCATATCTGAAATGTTTTCCCTTTTTCCTCCCAGGAAAATGTATTTCTGTATTATTTTTGTGAGATTTAAAAGAAATAAAAATGAATCAATTGCTCTAACTGGATAGAGAATTGGCCTGCAGACTGAAGGGTCCCAGGTTCAATTTCAGTCAAGGGCACATGCCCGGGTTGCAGGCTCGATTTCCAATGGGGGCATGCAGGAGGCAGCCAGTCAATGATTCTGTCTCATCACTGATGTTTCTATCTCTCTCCCTCTCCCTTCCTCTCTGTATACATGTATATATACATGTATACATGCATATAAGTATAACCAATGAACATAAAACTCTGGGGAGGGAGGGTATGTATGGGAGGAAGGGGGGCAAAAAAAATCAATAAAATATATTAAAAAACAACAACAACAAAAAATTCTCTGCTACACCAGCTAGATGCCCTGTAATTTCACTCAATTCTGATGCTATCTACCCAGAAATAGCATCAGATTCCACAGGTGAAGGGCTCAGTCTCACAAGATTGCCTTCCCCAGTTCAGACGCCAGTTGCAAATCCAGGTTATCACCTGTGCTTCTGACAGACTGGCTATAGATGAGAGGTTCCAACGACCCCCTCCTTGAGTTTGATTAATTTGCTAGAATAGCTCACAGAACTCAGGGAAACACTTACTTAGGTTTACCAGTTTATTAAAGGATATGATAAAGGAGGATAAAGATGAACAGCCAGATAAAGAGATACATAGGGTGAGGTGTAGGAGGGTCCTGGGTGCAGAAGCTTCTGTCTCCGTGGAGTTGGGTGTGTCATCCTGTGTGGATGAGTTCACCAGCCTGAAAGCTCTGCAAGCCCCAGCCATTAGGATTTTACAGAGGCTTCCTCACACAGCTTGATAAATTATTAACTCCATTTCCAGCCCTTCTCCCCTCTCTGTAGGATTAAGGGTGAAGCTGAAAATTCACAGTTTCTAATCATGGCTTGGTCTGTCTGGTGACAAGCCCACATCCAGGAGCCATCCAGAAGCCCACCAAGAATAATACTTACCTCAATAGAACAAAAGATGTGTCTATTGCTCTTATTATTTAGCAATCTACAAGGGTTTTAGGAGCTATGTTCCAGGGACCAGAAGAAGAGACCAATATATATTTTCTATTATCTCACAATGATCTTAAGAAGAAAAACTTTGGTTGAGTGTGTGTGTGTGTGTGGGGGGGGGGGGGGGGGAGGAGCCAGATCAGAGTATGTTAAGAGGAGGTTGGAGGAAAAAGATGAAGTAACAAATGCAGGTCGCTCTTTTGAACAAGTTAGAAACAAAGGAAAGAGAAATGGGGCAATCGCTAAAGGAAACCATTTTTGTTTTTCTTCAATTGGAGAATAAACAACATATTTGTGTGCTAATGGAAAAGGTGTGGTAGAGAGAGAAAATGATGATATAGGAGAGGGGCAACTGCTAGAGCAAGGTCTTGAGGTTAGTGAGAGGGGAAAGGGATCGACTGCAGAAGTGGAACATAGACAGTTCATTATAGTAACAGAACTTCGCAAAGACTCAGTATTGTGCCTTCAACCCTAATGCTTGGAAAAGACCTTAGAAATGATGTACTCCAGCCGAGACCAGTTTGGCTCAGTGGTAGAGCGTCGGTCTGCGGACTGAAAGGTCCCAGGTTCGATTCCGGTCAAGGGCATGTATCTTGGTTGCGGGCACATCCCCGGTGGGGGGTGTGCAGGAGGCAGCTGGTTGATGTTTCTCTCTCATCGATGTTTCTAGCTCTCTATCCCTTTCTCTTCCTCTCTGTGGAAAATCAATAAAATATATTTTAAAAAAAAAGAAGTGATGTACTCCAGAAGGAACTCTTATCATTTGCAGCAACCTGGATGGAATTGGAGAACATCATGCTGAGTGAAATAAGCCAGTCAATGAAAGAAAAACACCACATGACCTCAGTCATTTATGGATAATAAAGAACATTATAGACTGATGAACCAAAAGATAGATATAGAAACAGTAAAGCAACAAGCAGACTGTCAAATTACAGCGGGGAGATCTGGGGGAGATAAGAGATCAACTGAAGAACTTGTATACCTGCATATAAGTGCAGCCAATGGACCCAAAACTCTGGGGAGGGTGGGCATGTATGGGAGGGGGGGAGCAATGGTAAGATAAGTACACAGATAATAATTTAATAAATTTTAAAAAATCCTTTTTTTAAAAAAAGGGATGTACTCCAACTTTATTCTTATACAGGAATTGCCTCAGGCAGTTAACCCCCACCCCCACCCCCAAAAATTCTGGTCCAGCCTCTGCTTAAACATCTCCACTGATGATGAACTGGCTACTTCCCAAAGTGGCCATTTGCATTTTACGTCCCCTATAATGGTTAGGTAGCTCTTCTTAATTGTACTGCATCAAAACCTGTCTCTCCGGCAGTTTCACACACTGGACCAGGCTCTGTGCTTCAGGACCACAGAAACTCATGGTAATATAAATTGCCAAGCATTTTTTTAGATTTCAAGCATTCTTCTTCTTTTATTTTCTTTTTCTTTCTTTCTTTCTTTTTTTTTTTAATCCATAGCTGAGGACATTTTCATTGATTTTTAGAGAGAGGGAGAGAAAGAAAAAGATACATCAATGTGAAAGAGAAACATCATCTTGGGTTGCCTCCTGTATGTGCCCCAAGCAGGACCTGAGATTGAACCTGCAACCTAGGCATGTGCCCTGACCGGAAATTGAACTGGTGACCTTTTAGTGCACAGGATGACACTCCAACCAACTGAGCCACACCAGCGAGGGCTTCAAGAACTCTTTTACAGACCCCTCTCTCACTGAATCCTCACAAAAGCACACGAGGAAGGTATTCTTTTCTCCACTGCACTGATGAAGAAACCGAGGCTCAGGGAGATTAAGTGACTTACCAAAGGGAGCAGACTTGTAGGAAATTACAGAACTATGAATTCAGCGAAAGTTCCTGAGTTCATAACCCACACTTTCCTCTCCTCCACTCTGCCTTGGGTCCCTCCCTCTCTCCCACAGGCCAGCCCTTCAGTTTTTTAAAGACAGCTGTTATATCCCCCATGAGGTTTCTCCTCTAGTTAAACATACCCAATTCTTTCAACCACTTCTCATCAGGTGTCCCTTCGCTCCTAGTCACTCCTACAGGTGGGCTTCAAAACCTAAGCACCATAGTCCAGGGGTGGTCTGGCCACACCCCCTTTGCTCTGTACCCTGTCCTGCCATTCCTGTAGCCTGGAATAAAATTCCTGTCTTGGCAATGAAGCCTCATCAATTTGTTGTCTTACTCATTTTTCCCTCATAAATATGAATGATTTGCGTGTGTGTTTGGTCTGTTTTGTTCCTTTACAATGTCTTCGGTCCCCATGAGCCCCGAGGAAACAAGTGTTACATGAACACAGAAGGAGATGCATGAGGCAGCCCCGACACTTAATTATACTTCAAAAAGTGCGGAGAAGTGTGAAACTTACCTGACTGGCTAGATTAGGCATGTGGCCCCTATGTATCTTTGAAAGGAGTGTGTTCTCCCTCTGGATCTTGATGAATGAAACTGTGTCGACTTATTGCATCCGCATGGATTTCCTGCAGCTCATAGCATCTGGCAGACAGGAAACAAATCAAGTAACTATTCTTCCCAGCCTGCTCTTGCCAAACTGGCTGCCAGGGGACCCTATGAACAGAACTTCTGATGATGCCAGCTGGCCAACTGGAATGGGTGATTGAACCGGGGCAGATTTTTCCTTGTGCCTGAAGGGAGTAGCCTAACTTCTAAAAACATGGGAGCCATCCTGTGATAGTTAATACTGAGCTGTAGACTTCATGGGCCTAGAACACACTGAAGGCAGTTGACCCTGGTCCCTTCACTGTCCTGGCAGGGACAGGCAGGCTTATTTTTCTTCAAGGGGTTGGTAATCTGAGCAGGATGCCAAAGATGGCACACAAATCCATTAGCAATGGCACTGGGACCAGTTACAATGCTCTTTCCCTCTCCCTTTCCCTGCCGTTTGTGGGCACCGCTAGCACCACTGGAAGAGCTGACCCCTGGGTCAGCCTGTGCCCAGCTTGAGGTCCTTGTGGCCACCTCTACCAACCTGAACTAAATCTCCAGCACATCAAAGAGATCATGCTCACCCAGCCGGTGTGGCTTAGTAGTTGAGCATCGACCCATGAACCAGGAAATCACAGTTTGATTCTTAGTCAGGGCATGTGCCCTGGTTTCAAGCTCGATCCCCAGTGGGGGGGGGGGGGGGCGTGCAGGAGGCAGCTCATCAATGACTCTCATCATTGATGCTTCTATCTCTCTCTCCCTCTCCCTTCCTCTCTGAAATCAATAAAAACATATTTTTTAAAAGAGATCATGCTCTTAGCATGATCCAATTGTGAGTGGCTGACCACTCCTGACAGGTGAAAGCAGAGAAAGAATGTGGCTTCTCCAAGGCCACAGAATGTACAGCTGACAATGACAGACTCAGTGCCAATAAAGTCACAGGCCCTATTTTTTTTTTTTATCTCCAGAAACACACGAATGACAATAAGGTGTGATACAAGATACAGTCAACAATGCTTCATGTTGAGATCTCATCAGCTTCTGCTCATTCAAGTTGGAACAATGTTCAAGTGAACTCAACCCACACATGGGTCACTGAAACATTGAAGTCAAGGCCTTGGATCATTTACAAAAATGTCGCAAGCACAAGAGGGGATTATCTTCTCTCATTTACTTCACACGAGTGGCAGGAATGGTTGGTCTCACGGAGGAGCTACCATGGATTATGGGGCTCAGATAGCAGAGTTGAGTGAGTCTCTAGGAAAGAGCTCTAAGACCAGAACTCTCTCCCCTATGATGCACCCCACGTCTGAAATCTCCACCATGAGAGCCACTCCTTCGGGTTAAGGCATTCAAGGCCCCTATCACAAGGCAAATACAGGGTTTGGCAAAAGTAGGTTTACATTGTATGTGAAACAGAGCTTATTCTTTTATTATTTATTGATTATTGTATGATTTTCCATACGACAAACTGTAAACATACTTGTGTCCCACCCTGCATTTCAGAGTATAGGCAACTGACTAAACATCTTCCCATTTGAGCCACACTGCCTGGGTTTGAATTCCAACTCCACCACATATTGGCTGTGCAATCTTGGGTGATTCGTTGAAGCTTATAAGTGCTCTGTGCCTCAATTTCCTCATCTGTAAATTGGGGGTAAAGTTAGTTTGAGGATTCAATGAGTTAATACATGTAAACTTGGAGCAGTGGCTGGCACATAAAAAGTGCTCGCCCGATGTTAACTGTTATCATTATGATGGGGTAAGACTATGAAGGGCTTTGTATTTCAGGCAAAGGAACAATGTGGGCTCAGGTCCTGCCTGGTTCCTAGCCCCTACTCCTCCCCGCTCCGTGACTGGAGCCACTTTCTGAAGATCCACCAACCCCCTTGCTACAAGCTCAGCCCTGCCCCAGACTCTAGGCCAGAGGGACATCAGCAGCTCCAGCCAAGCACTCTGAGATTCTGTCTGGGATCACTCTTGATGTCTCAGTTCTGGCTGTTAAATCCTTGCCTTTTCTCTTGTGTTTGCTTTGGAGATCTTTAACTTAGTTGAGGACTTGGGGCATAGTCATCTGAGAGCCACTCAGGATACCATATGATAAAATTCTGGGTTGGGTGTTACAGACTACAAGGATTACATGAAGGAGGAAATTATTAGGTTTAGAGGAGTCAAGCAGAACTGCCTGGAGGAAGCAGAGCTGGGATAAGTAACATTTGCCCTGGCAGAAGGTGGAAAGGAAAAACTAGAGTCTGGTTACCTGGCTATACCTTTAGCCCCTAAAACTCACTTTTTAATCTAGTTCCACTTTCCACTCCTCACTGTCTGTCCTATCCCACTGCAGTTAACGAGGTCATGTCCAGTTGTATCTGGAAAGATGGCAATGCTACTGAAACTGAAGACAGCAGTGGCATCTCTGGATGGACAAGACAGCATATCAATGACTTCTGTTGGTTGGAGCTCCGGGAGGAAGCCCTTGAAATAAAACTGATGCTGGATCTTTAAAGCCACCATCATTATCATTTGAAGCCAATTGTATCATTCTTGAATACCTCCCAAGAGGAAGAAGATCAGGCCTTTATTGTCTTTCTCAAACCTTCAGCATCAGGTTCAACTTGGGGTGAATCAAGTCATTCCCATAATCCTTTGGAAACCAGCTCACCACTCCTCTGGCTTGGAGTTGACCAGTCCTGCCCTCAAATGACAGATCATAGACATGGATAATAGACAGGATTTATCTATACCAGTGCTTTTCAAACTATCTGTGGTGAATGATAGAGGTTTTTTTTACAGTGCAAAATTTTTATATTTAGAATTACAGCTGGAGTGAGTTTAGATGATCCCAATTTTGTTAGCAACATCCAGAGCATCATAGTCAGGAGCCAAGCATATGTCTTCTTTTTTCCATCAGGCCTGATCAGGGTGTTGACCTTGGCCACGTCAATGTTATAGAGCTTCTTCACAGCCTGTTTGATCTGGCACTTGTTGGCCTTGACATTCACAATGAACACAAGTGTATGGTTGTCTTCCATCTTCTTCATTGCTGTTGATTCGGTAGTCAGGGGGAATTTGATGAGGGCATAGTGGTCAAGCTTGTTTTTCCTGGAGACACTTTTATGTGGGCAGCCTTCAAAGCCATAGTGTCTTGGGCCTTCTGAAGGTGGATGAGGTGTGAATCTTTTTTGTGACTGTGGATGCCTTTTAGCTTTGCTTTCTTTGCCTTCAAAGCCTTTGCTTTGGCTTCAGCTTTGGGAGGAGCAGGGCTCCCTTCTTCATTCTTTTTTTTTTTTTTTAATATATCTTATTGATTTTTTACAGAGAGGGAGAGAGAGGGATAGAGAGTTAGAAACATCGATGAGAGAGAATCATCGATCAGCTGCCTCTTGCACATCCCACACTGCGGATGTGCCCGCAATCAAGGTACATGCCCTTGACCGGAATCGAACCCGGGACCTTTCAGTCCGCAGGCCGACGCTCTATCCATTGAGCCAAACCGGTTTCGGCCCCTTCTTCACTTTCGGCGCCATCTTCATGAAAAGGAGATTATATCTTTTTTAAATTTCCAATCTGTCATGAACACATACTTTTGTAGAATTTTTTAAAAATGATTCATACACTTCGCCAAGACCGGTTTGGCTCAATGGATAGAGCGTCGTCTTGGGGACTGAAGGGTCCCGGGTTGGATTCCGGTCAAGGGCTTTCCCGGTTGCGGGCATATCCCCAGTAGGGGGTGTGCAAGAGGCAGCTGATCGATGACTCTCTCTCATTGATGTTTCTAACTCTGTATCTCTCTCCCTTCCTCTCTGTACAAAATCAATAAAATATATAAATAAATAAAAATAAATAAATAAATAAATAAATAAATAAATAAATAAAAATGATTCATACACTTGGATGCTGCAGCAATATCAAATTTCTATGAATATTTCTAAACATTTTATTTATTTTCTTGTTGGACTGGCAGCAATCCACAGGCTGGCACCATTCGAGGCCTCCCTGGACTCCATCTGCTCAGTGAGGAGATGCTGACAGCATGGATAGTGGACTCCGTTAGAAAGGCTGGCTCTGCTGAGATTCTGTCCATTTCCTATTCAAAGGAATGATGGAAGAGATGCCAGGCTGGTGGAAGATCTGCCCCTTGCTAGCAGCCAGGTGACCTTGAACAAGTTACCTAACCTCTCTGAGCCTCAGTTTCCGCATCTATAAAAGGAGGATGATGTCTAATACAGCAGTTTCCCTCCCTTATTCGCTGGGGATATGTTCCAAGACCCTTTTTGGATGCCTGAAACTGTACATAGTACCAAACCCTGTATATACTATGTTTTTCCCTATACATACATACTTATGGTATAGTTTAATTTATAATTAAGCATAGTGCCAGGCCTGTGTGGCTCAGTGGTTGAGCATTGACCCATGAACCAAGAGGTCCCTAGTTTGATCCCCAGTAGGGGGCATGCAGGAGGCAGCCGATCAGTGATATTTCTCTCTATCTCTCTCCCTTCCTCTCTCTCTAAAAATAAATTAAAAACCATATTTACAATTAAGCACAGTAAGATTAAAAAAATAACAAAATAAAACAATTATAGCAACAATATACTATAATAAAGTTGTGTAAATGTGCCTCTCTGTATCTCTCTTCCTCTCTCTGATAACCAAGAGGGCTACTAAGTGACTAGGGGTCAAATACTGCATACAGTATGGATACACTGAACAAAGGGATGATTCACCTCCTGGGTGGAACAGAATAGGATGGCAAAAATGTCATCAAACTACTCAGAATGGTGCACAATTTTTTAAAAAATTAATTGTTTATTTCTGGGATTTTCCATTTGATATTTTTGGGCCATGATTGACCGTGAGAAACTGAAACCATGGAAGGTGAAACCACGAATAAGGGGTTACTACTCCAGTAACTTTCTTGTGAGGCTGTTATGAGAATTAAATGAGATATAATATATGGAAAGTAGTTGTCAC